ACTTTGACTGGGAGGTTGGTTTGTATCTGTATCAGTAACTCATTTAGCCGATTAAGGGTCATATTATTATTTTGCTCATGATCTGATACCACGGCATCACTTTCTCATGCTGTAAAGCCTTGCTCGCAAACCAATCAGCACTCTGGTTACAAACCCGTTTCATATGCAGAAATTCATTCTTTGGCCACGATCGGAGTTTCAGCATTGGATTATGCTTTAGCGATTGTAAATCGGGTGCTTTACAATCAATTTCGCCTCGCATCTGCCTTATCACCAACTAAAGTCACCACAAAAATATCACCCGTCCCCTAGTCTGATCGGACTGTGAGTCTAATCCAAGGATAAGCGATATTCCATCTCATTCACTATTAAATCCTCTGCGAATTCAGAAGTATCCGCCACGACTGTCCACTCAGGTAACTTCCATATTATTCCACTGTAAACCACGCCTTTCTTCTTTACCCTATCCTATCCATCGAAGCTGACCACTAGGAGATTTTCGTCTGTTTCGACTGTGGGTGGCGGCATGCTTATGGATTGCCATGGCTATTTTCTTGGAGTGATCGCGATCAGCATTTCGTCTACTTTTTTGCGGGGTGTCACACTTGCAGCTAGCGTGCCCGGCATTTCGTCTTCGCCTTTTTCGCATCGTCGAATCTCTAACGTCCCGTTTGATAGTAACGCCGCCCATCTGCCTAGGCTTCCGTTGAGACCAGACGACTGCTATAGCCAACCCAATGTCGAATATCTCGTAAGCACCATAATTTCTCGTGAGACCAACATTGTGTAACAAGTGTCGAATAGAAGTATTAGCTCTTCGGATGAGAGCGAACACCTCTTTCTCAACCATTCCGTAATTGAATTCATTTGGCTTCAGCGTGTGGCTAGAAAATCTTACTGGTCAATATGTGCCATTATAATCCTGGAGCAATGCAGCTGATACCGCTTACTTAATGGCGCATACCACAGTCACAGGTGCTCATTCTAGGTCGAAATGTCTTAAGATCGGGGTTTAGCCAATTAATGGCTTTTAGCCAACTGGAAGCTATTACTGCTTTTTTCCATCGACTTCTACTTCCAGAGTCTGGATCGCCCCTACATTTTTATATAAATCACCCTCTGTGTCTAAGTATAGATCGACCTTTGTGTTTAAGTCCAGATCACCCCCGTTATTCAAGCCGGGAAAATATCCGGAACTATCTTAAGATTCGCGATCGCTATCAGTTTCGATGTCTGATATTAAAAACGGAAACCCTTTGTCTTGGATAGTCTTATGGAAATCTGTTTCCAGCTTTTAATAAAGAAGCAAAGCATATTTCGCAAAGTCTTTCACAAAGCGGCTGTAGTAATTTAGTCTTCCCAAGGATGGCTGCATTGGTCTCAGAGTTTGAAGTAAGGGAATACTCACAATAGATTTTAAGTCTTTGGGATTGGCATCCAACCCCTTGAGCGACACTTGATGACTTATGTGGTCAGCCTTACGACGACACCAGAAACTTTTGGCTACACTAATCGATTAGTTACATCTGTCACAAACTTCTAAGATTCTTTCCACCCTTTCATATAGTAAGGTCCATGACGTGGCAGGTATCAAGATGTCGTCGATACATGACCTTCGAATTAGAACTGATTATCTAGGACCCGTATCTGGTAATCCGTTGGTGAACACATCAGTCGGCGTTGACGAAAGTAGTGCATGCGAGTAGTGTGTTAGGTCGATCTTCAGATACCCTTAAATGCATTGTCGATCAGTCGTTGGTACATCTGAAGAGCGTTTTTCTAGCCCAAAAGACATTCAAAACCATTTAAACAAATACGAAGGTGTTACGAATGCTGAAATAGTTCTTGCTCGTTCCGTCATTCCCACAACCCAAAACCCACATGCCATGTCTAACGAGCAATAACACATCGCTTTGTCCAAATCTTGCAGCAACTCGTTAATCAGTGGCATGGGGTAAACCAATAATCTTATCAGCTAGTTCAACTTCCCATAATCGATGCAGAGCCGTCTACCTTCCCTATTCTTTTTGATGATCACCACTTTAGGGGATGCCCAAGGTGAGGTGGACGGTTGAATTATCCGAGCCGATAATAATCCCTAGACCAGGCTGCCAATTTTCTTGATATTAAATTGTTACCGGTCGTACTCTCTGTGCAATCAATTTAGTACTTCCGACATCAATATCGCAAACCGCTCCACGCGCAGCTGGAGGCAGGGCTTTCCCTTGCCCATGAGTAAGTGGCAACAATTCCAGATCAGTTGCCTCAGGTTCTCTTTATCCTCTGTCATTGGCACGCCTAAACCGCCAACCTGGATGTCATCTATAGCCACTTCTTCCATGAAAGCGATTATCTCCGGCAAGAGGGCCATATTTTGGTCCACATCTTCCGCGAGCAGATCGACCCCGTCATGGCGGTTTATTGTAGGTTCCATCGGATTATTATCTGTTAAGTATTTCACGCTCATTGGTACTGTAACGTTTTTTTTTCTTCTTGATCTGGCAGATTGAGCTCCTGATTGCCCCCTCTCGAGCGATCATTGTCGCCTTTGATCGCTTGTGGTTTTCTGGGCGCTTCGTCCGATCGATTATGTGTCGGACCGCCATTCTCTGCTTTCGCCATCATACTGACCGCAGCAGGCAAGTCTAGCGACTGCTGATCTTCCTTGTCGGGGCGATCTTCGTCCTTGATGTTGCGCCGTATGATATTTGCCACCTCTGCTTGTTGAAGAATTTTCTATGGGGTAGAATAAGACAAATGGTTCACTAGGGGCCCCAAATAAGCGATCTGATGTTCTTTGGCTAGCTCCGTTGTAGCTTCATATGCCAGAGTCTGCTATTCCTCATTCCGGCGTGATCCGACCGACACACGTTACGGTAACCGAGGTATCGTGTCCGTCAAAATCCACCACCCTAAAGGACTTTTGTAATCGAAAAAAATACTTGCCTATCGACGACGTTTTTAGTAACAAGTACTTGATCTGGCCATGCCCAGTAGTCACCGTCGGTACCCACTTCTTGTCTCGCCTTATCCATAGTTTGGATTTTGGAACCTGATTCAATCCCCATTTCCGTGAAATATTCTCCGGCAGGGATTACCACATATTGGTCTGGGGTAGTGATCGGTTGTATTTTTACTTTTTACGGAAGTCGTCGCTTTGCTAAGTGAATTTTTACCTTGTCTGGAAAACAAAGCGTACCGTCTGCTAGATCCAACCGTATTCCTGCTGGAACCATAAATTAAAACCTAACATTGCTTCTTGGCCAACTTGATCGCCCACCCAAATATCAAAATAATATACCAGCGATCCATTCTTTGTGATCTAGATCTTGGTGCGCCTCTCAGTCAAATAAGCGTTTTCATCGATCCCCATAGATTCCTGCTGCTGACTGTTAACGATCGTACATCCCACCTTACGAGCGAAGGTAGTGTTTATACCTTACGAGCAAAGGTAGAAACTTCAGCTCCAAAAATCAAGTAGCATGGTGGCGTTTCGTTGTTGATTTTCTCACCGCTTTGACTTGTTTAAACAACTTCCAGGTGTGTGATTTTTTCAATGTCATCGCGATTCTCCCGGTGCTAGATCGAGCTATATCTTAACGAGAGATCGCGAATATTCATCCACCCTTTTCACACTTGAAATACTACGTATATAATGATGGGTTTCCATATCACACGTATCAGCGACCGGGTCGATCCGAATGTTGCCTCCTTCATCGATCCTTTCCATTTGCACAAAATGCATAGCCTAGAAAGCTCGTGCCAGATTCCAACCTGACGAGTGTCCTGGTTCCAAATCTCCTCAGATGTGGTCGGTAGTAGTCCCGCGTGCTTGGTTGGGACGTGCCACTTGCGTATCAGGTTGTAGAACTCTTCCATGGGGCATTTACCGCTCTTATGAACCTCCCCACAGGCGAGACACATATTCAGTCACTTTTCCGAGGGATGTCCTTTGCGGCCACACTTCTGAGAGACCATTTTTTCAGCATCCGCGATCGTCATGTCCTTTTCAAGCCACAGTGTGCGCAGGCTTTCGAAACTACGCCGCGATCGCGATCATCATCCCGGCCTGTCTTGTGCGATCCGTATCGTTGTTCTCCCGGGTCTGCAGCTTGATCAGAGATTGTCAGCTCAATAATGTTGCGAAGAAGCCCCTCTTCGTCTGATACGTCTGAGCTTGAGCATGAATCGCTTTCATCACTTTCCATACGAGTGAATTTCACTACTTGCGGCATTTTTGAATATACCGGGGTCGACGCTTTAGCAGATCACGATCGATGCTTGTTCAGTTCGGTCGGATCTTTGCTGTGCCAAAACTTACATGTTGATACGTGTAGTGTCTCTTCTATCGTGTCAGCGTCATGCACTCGCAATAGAGTCAGTTGTGTCGCCAACTATCGATTTTCCAACGTATCATTAAAATGCTTGACATGTTCACGTCGGCTTGCAAGCGATCTATCTTTGACCGCTATCTTCGCTCGCATTCCTGCCACATTCATCCGGTGAAGATATCCCAACGGGGTCTCATTCGGCTATTTACGCGCGTGGTAATACTGTCTCCCTGCTGACTTTCCGTTTCTCCCAAATTAGACCATGAAGATTTCGGACAATGGTTTCCACTCATTGCGGGTCGATCGGCTTAACTAGTTGTACCAATTCTGGGCAGGTCCTGTCAGCATATCTCCAAACACCAAACATTTCTCATAACCTGGAGCCCGATCGCGTAGGAAGGCAGTCTTTATCTTTTTAAACCAGCTTTTAGAACGTTCTTCGTCTTGTTGCCGTCCTAAAATTCTCTCAGGTCAGTCATTGCCGACAACCTTATCCTCTGCGCACTGAAACCTCCCGTAGGTGCGGTTTCTGCGGTCGCCACCTGAGGTCTCCTTATATCTTAAAAAACCTTTCGGTCTTGCTCGTGTTCGCTCGGTCGATCACGATTTGATTCCACTGATCCATTTCGACATCTTGAATGTATCGCTCTTTGAAATCGTTGACCGTCCTTAAAAGACCAGGTTGCTTGCTCCTTGTTCTTCGCGATCGCGAATGAACTCGTCTATGGCGGCCATGAAGTACGTTTGAAACTGGCTTGGCTCCGCCGTGTTTTTCTTTTGTGAGGTCGGTATTGTAGTCGATCGTCTTTTGCTATTGGCCGAGTCGATCCCGTCTCTCAGCAGAGCTGCTCCCGTCGGTCCCAGCGACATTCGTTTCATCCGGAGCGATCCGTCTGAGTCCAAATTTGATTCTGCCGAGTCATAGAGTGAAGACCCTGTGCATTCATACTTCACGTTGTGGCCGATCAACTCGATCACTTGGTCCGGGCGTTCTGCGTGCAGTTGATCTGCTTAATTCTTCGATCGGTATCCTCTGCTTCCCTGATCTGTAGATCCGTCGGATCGTGAGAACCTGTAGTGGAATAAACTTCTCGAATAATAGCCGTACTGCCTTGATCTCCCGATCGTGGTTGCACTCTAGAAGCATTTATGCATCAAAAGATCCCGCCGTAAATCCAGCTGCTCTTAGCAGCTGAATAAGACGATTTAGTGCCTCCTCCAGCTGATTCGAGGTCGAATTCGGTGGTGATACCGGACCATGGATCGAACCGATCAGCTGAGGCTTCTTCATCTTCAGGACCGGGTCTTCTGAGAGAAGCTTCTTCAGTTTGTTCCAATAAATTTCCAGGTGATCCGTTCCAACTGCCCGCCTAATGATTCAGCATCGATTTCCGCCTTAATCTATTGCTTGTTCGGATGTGTCTCCGCCGTCTTCGACTTTGACCAGGACAACTTGAGAGTGTCTTTCTTCGCCTTTGATTAGGCGTTAATTTTGGATGAAAATCTTTCAGCTATAGCTGTAGGGTTTTCATCCAGTCTATCGTGCTTTGCAGCACGATCCGCGGTGGTCCCTGAAGGGACCTCAGGAGTGGTAAGGTTTCTCTTCCAGATCAGCTTAAAGGTCTTCCACTTTTACTCTCCAGTCATCGTGGCTCCCCCAACTATGATGATCTTTAGAATCTTTTTTCTTCGCCCATCTGCGGCGATACAGCTTTCGATGGCGCTCCAATTCCAGGTTCAGTCTTAATCTTAGCATCTTCATCATAAAACCCACGGTGAAATCCCGAGTCACCAGAAGATCCGGACACGCGCACCATTGTGGTGGAGTGGGTTTCGCTCATTTTATGAGGCGATCCCAACTCCCCACTGGCGCCCAGACAACCTAATAGCGGAGAGGGCACTCCGATCCCGCTAGCCCTTGTTTCCTCCTCAACTTGTGTACCCGTCGGTAGGGCGGGTTGCATTCTTCGAGGTGGACTTGACTCGATGCTGAACTTGACCGTTTTAGAGATTGGTGTCAATCGGCTGGAAATTCCTCACCCTATCGGGTTTTCTTGGTTGGCGCTCTCCTAGAGTCGCCGCGATCAGCCTTAATCGCCTTGTGCCAAAAATGGGGTACTTGAGTCGCGAGCCTTCTGACCACTTGAGCCGTCTCGCGATCTTGTACTTCAACCACTAAGGTTGCCTGCGTCCGATCGCAGTTAAGATGTGTTGGTAGTCCTTGCACTCCTGGACAAGTAACTTCAGGAGTAATCTCCTTGCCCTTGGTGTTGAAGCTCTCTGACGTCGGGAGGCCAAAGTATCGAATTCGGAAGAAGAAGTACGCGTATGTTTTAGAAGCAAATTGAACTCTGTTAAATGTTAACCAACCAAAACGCAAAACTATAACCACGCCTACTCCGCATATCAGGATTGACCGCCACGTGTCTTCTCCATGCCGAATGGATTTGCAATCCTCTATATCACGTGGCCCACGCCAGATCGCGGTCCTCTGGTTGAGGTCCCTTGATCGCGGTCCCCTGATCGCGGTCTCTCAATTGCGGTTCCTTGATATTTTACAGTCGAAGACCGCGCGGATTAGATGGGGTCGAGTCCGTCGGGTCCTCCCAAACCGTAACAATCAATATCTGGCTATCGTCCCACGAGCGATTTAACCAATACCACCTCAAACTGATATGAATCGCCCAGGCTTTTGGATCCGATATCAATCGGCTTTACCATCTAAGCTAAGTTCTGTGGCACCCCAAACATAGGGTGCCCCGTTACAATAGGTATTTTAAGCTGTTGATAGCAAATCCCGAAACTTGCTCGATTGGAGTCGTGATGATAAAGAGACAGCGTAAGATGAACGAAGAGTTGGAATAGAAGGACGAACGGAGGCAGAGATTCCGCTGAATCGTCGAGAGCAGGTAGACGGGATGCATGAGGAGATAAAATCGTTGGTGACACGTCTCGACGAGAGGTTTATGCCAGACACGGACGACCTGAGGCCGGTGAACAAACCACTACCGGATTCGTCAGAGCCAAAGCGTATTTTTTTTGAGTTCGAAAGGTACTCCGTACTTCGTAGACTCGCATATAACAACGCAGAAGCGTACGCCGCAAGTCACTAAACACCTCAACCTAGAAACCACGTGAAAGGTGAAGTAAAGCCGGCGAGAAATAATACGATGGAAAAGAAGAAGAGTAAGACAACCTATGAAAACTTGACGAAAGGTCATAAACCACATCTTCCATGACTTGGCCTCTTTGAAACGGGGTTAACCGTTACATAACAATTTATAAGAGATTTTTAATAGAATACAACTATAGGAGTTGTATTCTCAGAATATTGTCATAAGGACAAGTATTCTGCAGCACTTACGAGTAGTTCCTAATTGGTTGATATATGCCATTATATCAACCAACGAAGACGCGCCACGACAGACGCACGCAATGAGTGGTGAGCAGATAGTTGATATGCGCATTTGTATTCAGACATAGTTAGATGAAGATAAATAGTGATTTATTGCAGACATTAACTATTATAAATGCAGTTCTACTTTTTACTCTAACCAAGTACTCGCTTCTTCTTACCGTCTTCCTCTGCACGTACCAGTGTACGTGAAGTTACGAGGCACCGCCTTATTCTGTCATCAGAATAAGTAGCTTGTACTGTCACCAGTACAAGCTTCAGGGTGCCCCGTTACACCTGGTAGCACTTCGTAGTCCGCCCAAGGACCGCGTTAACATCCAACATGAATATGTTGGATGATGAAGATGACCAAAGATTTCACGCTACGCGTGACGGCTACTCCCATTTGAGTGATGTCGAATGGGATGCGGTTGAACGAATGGGTTCAACCATGGGCATCCATGCTGTTAGCGTCATGCTAGAGGCTCTCAATAGAGATGCCCAACATGCTACTATCGCCAAGTTCATTCAAAATGAACTTGACGCTGAACGCGAGAAAGTAGCCTTGCTTCACCAACAAGGTTCTCAACAATCAGAGTTGTTGAGAGAACAGGGTGCTCAACAGTTCGAACTGTTGAGACAGCAGCAGGCTGCTGCTGGTGGGTCGATGCACTCGCGTCGACCCGAGACCTTGAAGATTGACATCTCCAAGTATAGGGGAGTCGAAGAGGACTCCCTCTTGAGATGGTTCGTCGAATTGGATGACGCCATAAGGACGCGCCGCATCGACGACGGGGATATGCAAGTTGCATTTGCCCAGTCAAATCTGGCAGGACGTGCCAAGACTTGGGCACTGGGGCTCAAGTTGCACGACCCATATGCATTTGGGTCCTTAGAATTCTTTAAGTCGCGGCTCAGACAAACGTTTGAACCGCCTAGAGCTGAGTTCAGAGCTCGAACCGAACTCTTGAAGCTCAAGCAGGGTAAGCGTGATGTACACGCTTGCGCTCAACATATACGACATCTCACGAGTTGTATAAGTTCCAATCCGGTTCATGAACACACGTTGGTTTCGGTGTTCATGCAGGGTCTTGCGGGTGGTCCCGTCAAGACTCACCTGTTCCGGCTTGAACTAGATTCACTAGAACAAGCCATTTCCATTGCGGAGCAGGAAGACTTCAGTCTGAGACAGGCTCGCGCCAGCTCGACATCATATCGTCAACCGAGACGATATGACAACGGAGGTCCAGAGCCGATGGAACTCTGTTATGTAGAGAGCGAGAAGGCTCGCTCTACAGGCTACAAGAGGTTGCAGAGATGCAACAGATGTCAAAAGACAGGACACTACGCTTACGAGTGTAGTGCCCCTCGTCCAGTGTCTCGCGACACTGGGCGTAGTGACCGTCCACCCATGAGAAAGGGGCAGGGACGAGGGTCCGCTGTTGGTGCAAAGACGCAACAACGGGATGGACCGTCAAAAAACGGACAGGATCAGTAGATGCGGAGCACCCTACTGATCCAGCAACGTCAAGAGAATTTGTAGGCCTCTTGATGAAGGTTGCTCCCAACACACAAACGTTGTGCGTTGCTGCTCTAGGTAATGAGGTCTCACTCATTAACTTGAAACTCGAAGTGACGAATAAGTTGTCCCTTCGAGCTCTAGTCGATTGTGGGGCGTCCAACAATTTTGTGCGACGCCAATCGCTAGAAGATGGTCACTTTAAATTCAGTGAATGTGACACACCTCCTACGAGGATGACGGTACGTCTTGCGACAGGCGCATCCGTAACCGTCATGAAGCGTATAGTGAAGATCCACTATACGCTAGAAGATACCCAATATGACGATGACTTTATCGTATTGGATTTGGATGGCAAATTTGATGTCATCCTTGGAATACCGTGGCTCAGAAGGTACGAACCACGGGTAAACTGGCAACATCGGACAGTAACGATGTCTGCCACTTGTTCATCAGATGGCCATCTGATGAACGTTTTGGAGCGTCCACAAGCGTGTGGATGTACTACGAGTGAGTGCGATGGCCTCACTTGTGGTACGGTCGTTAGTACGACTGCACGAAACCGTAGTGTAACAAACAGTTACACTTCAGAGCAAAGTTCCGGCGGCTGTGAGGAACCACAGGCTGCGCCGAAGGTCCACTACTCGTATAAGTCGAGTAGACCGGGACAAAGATGTATCCCTAGCGGGGAACATCTAGAAGAAAAACAATCAATGCTCAGGTTGCGAGAAACGATAATCCTAGATCGACTGGAGAGTCTTTCGTAGAGGATCTCACTGTGGTTGCGCAACCACAGCTAAAGGAAGTTAGGGGAATAAGTCCCGATATTACAAATACGGCGGAAATAAGTTACTTGAAACTCGAGGGAATAAGTCCCCGGGAAGCCGAAGGAATAAGTCCTTCGAGGCCTGAGGGAATAAGTCCCCAGGAAATGACAGAGACATTGAATGTCATAGTCAATAACGGATCATGTGTAGGCGCTTATACACTTGATCTGATTGCGCCTCCGAAGTTGACTTCGGAGATCACTCAGTTGCCAACGCTCGAACATAAAAGGTTCTTGCGTGATTTGCGTAGTGGCAAAGTCAAGCAGATCTGCGTACTCGTCGCTGACGACGAGTGTGTAACCGACATAAGGTCAGCAACAGTGTTTACTGAGAACGAGAGAGTTCTCAGTAGTTCATCTATGGACGAGAGTGTCCTAGATGAAAAGACACGAATTGAGTGATATGACTCCCAATCGTCGGAATCGCTCAAGACAAATCCTCTCTATGAAGATTTGGTTGAATTCAAGGATGTATTCCCTGAAACTGTTCCGTGCGAATTACCGAAGGATAAAGGTATTCGACACGAGGTCGAGCTTAAACCAGGCTTGAAGTACTGTGTCATGAAGCAGTGGCCACTGCCCCGTGAACAAGTACTTGCGATCGACAAGTTCTTTGCCTATCGTTTAGCTGCGGGCCATGTGAGGGAATCAACTTCCCCACATAGCTCTCCGACCTTCTGTGTGCGAAAATCAACAGGAGGGTGGCGGATAGTGCACGCGTTCAACAAATTGAACGCTGCAACAGTACCGGCTCAGACGCCGATACCGAGGAAGGACGTAATCATTGATGGTATGCCAAAGAGTACCATCTTTTCGTCCATGGATTTGATGAATGGCTTCTATCAAATCCTTATGCGGGAACGGGATATACCCTATACCGCAGTTAGCACGCCTAGCGGCATGCTCTGGGAATGGCTAGTAATGCCACAAGGGCTTAGTAATGCCCCTGCCACGTTCAACAGATGTGTATCACATCTGTTGAGACCAGTACGAGAATTCGCACCGAGTTATTTCGATGACGTATTCATCCATAGTCGAGCTATGGATGGAAAGTCGGACGTTGAGGTTCACAGGTACC